CGCTTCTCTCTCCCATGCAACATTTTTTTTTTTTCTTCCCACGGTTGCTCTAGGTTTTCACTGTCATCTCATTCTGAGTCATGTGGAAAAGTACAAAGAAGGATTGAGAAGAAAAACACTGAGATTTACTCCAAGATGCTACACAAAAGCATCCCTTATTGTTTGAGTCCCACTATTTTCATGGGTAGGTAACTCTGTCTCCTTGGTAAATTGAGCTCCGATTACAGTGCGATAAGAATTCTAGATTCTTCATACTCTTCAATCACCTAGTACATATTGAAGGATTATCTGAGTAAATTGTGTGAAGGATTGAGAAGATTTAGAAGTCCTGGCACATTCTTTCAAAGTGTTTGCAATCTAATTTGGGAAATAAGATTGACACATGGGAGATAACAGACAGCAATGCAAGATAACATGGACTGGGCCACAGTATATGGTATAAGGATGAAGGCAGTGGTATGTTGGTAGATGTTTAACATTCAGTTCTACAGGAAAAAAAAAATAGTCCTGATACTGATTGTCCATTTCTGAGTTAATGCTATTTCTCTATAGCAGATTTTTATCTCCCCACGTGATACTACAGAATATGGAGCGGAGAAAGAATGTTAGCAATATTCTCTGGTGAGCTGGTGTAAGCTGCCTTCAGTACATCATTGGGTATAGGCTTTATGAAAGAAAGAGAAGTGAGAAACAGTGTTGTGTGAGATGATTTCATGAAGATGCCAGGCAATGAGCTGAGTCTTAAAATACTCCTAAGAAACAATTTTAAAACATTAAAAATAAATCTATTCTAGTTTAGTTTTTTAAAAATTCTGTATTTAAGCTAAGAATAAGAATGTAATTTCATTGGGGGTTTTATGTTGAGAATGTATTGGTAATGATGGGGATGTGCTTCCAGGCACAGAGGACTTGAAATCTGGGTGAGCAACAGGGAGTGGAGAACAGCCCAGGCAAGAAGAAAAATATGAACACAGGCATGGCTTTGACAATGGGTATTGGAATATTCCTAGGTCCTGGGGAGGGTGCTTTTTACAGTGGAGGAGATAGTGAAGATGGCAGATTGGCTATGTAAGAACAGTCTGATAGGGCAGTGCCTTATCAGCCCAGCAGAGGTGTGCTTACCAGACCAGAGAAGTGATATATGATTAGTATATTAGAACTTAGAGACAATCTTGTTTAAGCTCCTTATTTTGCACTTGAGGCCGTGGAGACATATTTGCCCCAGACCACATGTTTTGACATTGACAGACTCCAGATCAGCTTCCAGATTTCTCAAGTCCCAGCCAATTCCAATGTTTTTTTTTCATCATAAAAACCACCTAAAGGATGATAAGTCTAGTAGAGACAGATTCATAGGGTTAAAATCTTATTTGTGTCCAAATGAATCAACTTTGATGAAGTATAATACAGTATGATATAATATTACATGACATAATATAATACAATGCAATACAATTAAAATATAACATAACAAAGTCTACCAATTTTTTGATATATGTTTTGGTGAGTTTTGACAAATTTATACACCCTGTATTATCACTCTCACAATCAATAACATTTCTTTTACCCCAATAAGTTCCTTGTGTTCTTTTTCAGTCAATTCCCCAGCAATTCTGGCAACCACTTTTTTTGTCAGTATAAATTAGGTTTGTATTTCTAGAGTATCATATAAATAGAATTATACAGTATTAACTCTTTTGTGTCAAGTTGATTCAGGATACTGTTTTAAAGATTCAGCCATGTTGCTGTTTGTATTAGAAATTTGTTTCTCTTATTGCTGAGCAGTGTTGTATTATATGGATTCATTATAACTTGGATTTTTGGGTTATTTGCAGTTTTTTTACAATTAGGAAGAAAGCTAATAGGGCCATTCACGAATACCTTTCTCTGTGTGAACAAATATTTTCATTCCTATTGTGTCAACATGTAGAAAAAAATAACTGAGTTATGGAGTAAGTACATATTTAACTTTCTAAAAAACTGCCAAATTGTTCTCCCACTTGGTGATTCTATTTTACATTTCCATCAGCAATGTTTAAGTTTCAATTCCTTTACTTCCTTTCCAAAATTATTTGTTGTTAAGCTTTTAAATATTAGCCATTCAAATGAGTGTATCGTGGTATCTCGTTGTGGTTTTATTTTACAAATTTTTTAATGGCTAATGATGTTGAGCATTCTTTCCCATGTATCCTGAACATTTATATATCTTATTTTGTGAAATGTCTGTTCAAACATTTTGTCCATGAAAAATGTGTCTTATTATTGAGTTATAAGAATCCTTTATATATGCTGGTTACAATTTTAGACATATGTGTTGTAAATATTTCCTCCTAGCTTGTGGTTTTCCTTTTCATTTATCTTTTCTTTGTTTCCTCCCCCCCTTTTTTTGAGATGGTCTCACTCTGTCACCCAGGCTGAAGTGTGGTGGTACGATCTTGGCTCACCACAACCTCTGCCTCCCAAGCTCAAGCAATTTTCGTGCCTCAGCCTCCCGAGTAGCTGGGATTACAGGTGTGTGCCACCAGACCAGGCTAATTTTTGTATTTTTAGTGGAGACAAGGTTTTGCCATGTTGACCAGCCTGGTGTCAAACTCATGGCCTCAAGTGATTAGCTTTTCTTGCTCTCCCAAAGTGCTGGGATTACAGATGTGAGCCATTGTGACTGCCTAAGCATTTTCATTTTTCTAATGATATCTTTTGAAGATTAGAAGCTTTTGATTTTGATAAAGTATGTGAGTTTGTTCTTTTATGGGTTATGCTTTTTGTTTTATATCTAAGAAATCTTTGCTCATTTCAAGGTATTGAAGATTTGATTCCTTATTTTTTGTCTGGAATTTGTATAGCTTTATCTTTTATATACATATCTATGATTCATTCTAAATGTTTTTTGTGTGTGTATGACAGGATCTAAGGTTTGAGGCTTATTTTTCCCATACAGACATTTATTTGATCTAGCAACATTTGTTGAAAAGACTGTCACTGAGATACCTTAGCACATTATCAAAAATCAGTGGCTGTATATATGTGAGTCCACTTTTGGACTCTCCATTTTGTTCTGCTACCTGCACTTGCATCGATAGCATACTATCTTGATTACCGTAGTCTTCAAATGAAGTAGCGTAAGTTTTTCAACTTTGTGCTCCTTTCCTAAAATTGTTTTAGCATTCTTGGTCTTCTGCAGATGCATATACATTTTAGAAGGGGAATATGTTTTATTGTTCTGGCTAGATAATTTGGTACCCTGGTCTTGAGTGGGTCATTGTGAATTCAGAAATTATACAAACAGAAGACATAACTTTAAAGAAAAAGGCCACTGAATGTGATGTCAAAATACAGATGGCTCTAAAATGTTGACCCATTAATTGACAGGAATAATGACAAGCTCATTAAAAAAGACAGAAAAATTGAAATGGAGAGCTTTTTATGAATATAAAAAGGGTTAATGTTTAGTTTACTTTCAAAAATATGAAATTTATTATGATTGCAAGATACATTAATAGAGAAGTCAAGAAAGAGGTAAATGGAGGCTTGGGAAAAAGACTGGTGATGAAAATAGAGATTTGAGAGCAATCATCATAGAAATGATAACAGAAAAATTTGAGAGGAAGAATGCAAAAAAACACACACACAAGGGCCAAGGATCGACCAGAGAAGAGCATACATAATTATGGTAGAGGGAGAAAGAGGAGATTCATGGAAGGTAATGAAATAAGTACAAAGAAGAGAGAAAAGCAGTGTGGTGTCATGGAAACCAAGGTCAGAGAATGTTTCCATGAGGTAGGAGTTTGAAGTGTCAAAGCAGACAAAGATGAGAAAAAGAAGAAAAAGCAAAGTCCAGTGGCTTTAGCAATGGAGAATTACTTGGTGACATTTGAGCAAACAATCTCATGGGCGTGAACATGCCAAAGCCAACCTGCAGGGAAAAATGGGGAGTGGGAGAGAAAGGCTGCTTTAATACTTCTGAAAATAAAGGGAGAACAATAAGATGGTCACTAAAGAGAACCACAGGATCGGTTGTATGCTCTCCATACATTTTATATATGCTTGCTTTTTGACAAAAGGGACAAGTGCCTCTGCTTCTCAGAATTGTCTGTTCACCATCTTTTAAAAAATAGATAAGCTAGTTGGGCTTCAGATAGCTGCAGATTTCTCTCTCATCTCTGGAGTCATTCCTATACCTCAAGTTGTCCAGTCCTTTATGAGGACAGTGGCAACTACACAATGTTTTTTGTCACAGCTCTGTCTTCCTGACTTCACTCAAAAGGCCTACTGGAATCAGCAAAAAAGAAAAAAAAAAGAAAAAAAAAAAGAAAAAAAAAAGATTTCTTTGGTAGGGCTTGAGTCATCAATTTTAGTGGAGAGATAATGGCAGAAGTCATGTTGCAGTTGTTCTGTTTTGAGAGTATAATAACATATTTGGACCACATCACCTCTCCAAAATCAAGTTTCTATATTCATAATTCTACTGAAATGCTGTGTAAAAGCTCCTCAGTGACCTTGTTATGAAACCCAGTGGCCACTTCACAAAATTTTCCATCTTCAAATATTTCAAACTACTATATTATTTTTTTTCACAAGACTTTCATCTTTATGGTTTTCTTGACAGGCACTTCACCAGAGTCCTCCTTATTAAGAGGGTTTAAAGACTGGGTATTGCTATTGGTTGAAATATAGAGCATGGCTTTCTCCTTGCTGTCCTTTTCCCTTCCTAACATCACTCTAATATCTGTGAGGTGAGCATACAGGCAGAAGTCCTCTCCATGCACAGGAAGTAGTTTGCTCTACAGTAACAATGTTCATACGTATAAAGCCCCAAAGAGGCACAAGTAGGCTTCTCTCTTCATGTGAGAAGACCCTGCATGAGCATTCTGATTAAAAAGAAGGGAATTCAATCCAATCTCAGTACAGTTATCAGTGTTCTTTGTTTTAAAGTCCAATTGCTGCTGAGAATTTACTCCTTGTTGACTCCATTTATTGCTTTCAGACACTGATATAGCAGAATGCAGAGAAAGAACTTCACAGAAGTGACAGAATTCGTCTTCTTGGGATTCTCTAGCTTTGGAAAGCATCAGATAACCCTCTTTGTGGTTTTCCTAACTGTCTACGTTTTAACTCTGGCTGGTAACATCATCACTGTGACTATCATCCACATTGACTCCTATGTATTTCTTCCTAAGCATGCCAGCCAGTTCAGAGACGGTGTACACACTGGTCATTGTACCACGAATGCTTTCCAGCCTCATTTTTCATAACCAGCCTATCTCCTTGGCAGGCTGTGCAACCCAAATGTTCTTTTTTGTTATCTTGGCCACTAATAATTGCTTCCTGCTTACTGCAATGGGTTATGACCGCTATGTAGCCATCTCCAGGCCCCTGAGGTACACTGTCATCATGAGCAAGGGACTGTGTGCCCAGCTGGTGTGTGGGTCCTTTGGCACTGGTCTGGCTATGGCAGTTCTCCATGTGACAGCCATGTTCAATTTGCCCTTCTGTGGCATAGTAGTGGACCACTTCTTTTGTGATATTTACCCAGTCATGAAACTTTCTTGCACTGATACCACTATCAATGAGATAATCAATTATGGTGTAAGTTCATTTGTGATTTTCGTGCCCATAGGCCTAATATTTATCTCCTATGTCCTCATCATCTCTTCCATCCTTAAAATTGCCTCATCCGAGGGCTGGAAGAAGACCTTCGCCACCTGTGCCTCCCACCTCACTGTGGTCATCGTCCACTATGGCTGTGCCTCCATTGCCTACCTCAAGCCCAAGTCAGAAAGTTCATTAGAAAAAGACCTTCTTCTTTCCATGACGTAAACCATCATCACTCCCCTTCTCAACCCTGTTGTTTACAGTCTGAGAAACAAGGAGTTCAAGGATGCCCTATGCAGAATTGTGGGCAGAAATATTTAACAGATTGGATAATTTCATCAAGAGACTGTTAGCCCAGTGAGTGTGTCTACTCACAAACATGCCACAATACACACATTCGTCAAATGTAATATTTGTTGAGAATACTGTCAGAGAATTAGAAATGCTTTTCTTTTTTATGTTCTAGAGATGGCAGAAAGCAGGATTTCTGCTCTGGTGAATTTTGTTACCAGATACAAGAATCACTCCAAGCTGGATTAAGACTACTTGTTTCTGTGGTTGAAGATTTCAGTTTTGAAAGCTTTTTGGCTTGCATTTTACTTCAACTCTCTGACAGACAAAACTTTGACCTAGTCTGGTTAAGGGATGTGGAGAATAGGCAGTGGGAACATAGGTGGCAGGGATTTTAGGAAAATAAGCTTCAGAGACACCAACTTTTATTTCTGTCTGCTTATATAAAAAAGGAAGCTTTCATTCTCAGGAGTCAAATAATATTCCAGGTGATAGTCATTTTATGATGATATCTTAATTCTTACTGATTGAAAAATGAACAGTTTTGAAAAAAGTCTCTTCTTTTATTATCCAGCTATATTTGCTCCTCAAATAGAGTTCATTTCTAAGTGTATTCTTTTCCATCTGTGCAATCAAGGCAGAAATCTCTGCTGTTCCCTGGGGATAAGCAGAAAGAAGACATACCGGTGGCTTTTCTCTAAAACTATGTTTTTATCCAGATGCACTTTTCATAAAGACTCATCTCTTTTCAACCTATGGTAGCTTTTTAGATTTTTAATTTATATGTAGTAGCTTCGATGACATTGAAGTTGTCTTAGATATTGGTTGTACTAACTCTAGAGTCCAAGGTAAATGCCATTAACTTCCATTCTCTTGGCAAACTGTGCAAACTTCATGCTTCTCCAGATATGTGTTTGTAAAATGAGCATAACTATGCTACATTATTGTATATTGTCCATGGGAAACATTGTGGGAATATTTTGTTTTATGACTCTTTCCACCAGAGTTTATCTTTACCCTGAGACAGAGCTGGAAGATACCTCCTAAGAGACACAGGTATGGAAACATCTGCTTTCACACACTCAGGACATCTATTGTTTTTCCATCCTCAAGTCAGTTCCTATCTCTTACTTCCCAGTTTTATTTTTCTGTTCCTGACCACAGAAATAGGGTTAAGTATCTTCTAGGTGACCTGTGAACTTCTCTTTTTTCTACAGATCCTTTTGTGAGGAGATCACAAACTGGAGGTGAAGGGTCACTCCACAGTGTCCCTTTGATTTGGCTGACCCACTCGGATAACATCATAGCTGATAGCAGGGTCTCCCTACTGGCCAGCCACATATCCTTCTCAAAAGGTGTCTAAACCTGGGGTTCATAGTTTTTAGGGGATGCCTTGGTGGGTGTCAGAGGGTTTTTAAACTTTTTCGAAATTATCCACTACATTTTTAATGTAAGTGTTAATGTGACTTTTTCATTGTATTCTTAAAGAATTTACTCTGGCATAATAAGTATTTCTTCCCTCAAATCCAAGCAGAAATATGAGACCAGATCCAACTTTCTTTCTTCATAGATCATTTACTTCCACAGTATCCTTACATCTTCTTGAAGAAGGGTTCTTTGGCCTGGTCCAGTTTTGCCTATACGGGCATTGCTATTCTTATACTAGTTAGAGAATATGGAAGGTATGGGTGATTCTCAGCTTGGAGGTTGAGGAATAATGGGTTATAGGGGATATCAGAGGGCAAGCGTGGTCTTTATTGAAAGTTTTCCTGTCTTCCTCCATCCCTTCCTGTATTCCCTAAGTGTTTCCAAACCGTTCCTGCTCCTCCAACACTTCATGGATGAATAAATACCCACTAGTGTTAGTTGTTTTACATACTTTGCATGGATTTAGACTCACTAGAGAAAGGAGCATCTACAGGCAAAGTGCAATAGTATAAGAATGGGTAGGTCTATTTGGTGACAGATCCCTCCTGGAGGATGAATTAGAAAGAGTGAGTCATTTTATTGCTGCTTTTATTGTCTATGCAAAATGCTTAAATTGATAGCTAATGTGGCAGTTATTTTCACTATCTCAATTGTTTTTTTGTTGTTATTATCATCTTAATTACTCCCCAATGTCTCACTGTACCCATACTCCTTTATTTTTCTTCTTTTGTACATTTCAAATACTTTCATTCTTTTAATATGTTTTTTGTTAAGCCATTTTATTCACCAGAAAAATGCTATGCTCATAATATCACTTACTTATTAAATCTGTGTACCTTTTTAAAGCACCATGTGTCAAGCAATTAACTATCTCTGGGACTGTAATAATGACCAATACAGGGATTCTGTTTTATGTTATTCACAGTCTAGTGGGAAGGCAGAAAAAATAACAAGAAACAAAAACTTGCTAAAGGCACATGCACAGGATTGTTGTTTGGGGTCAGCGGTGATGTTCAGAAAAGGAATCTATTTAGAAGGTCAGAAAACATTCATAGAGAGGTGATATTTAATTAACTTTTTGTGGCATTGGGTCAACTGGTGTCTGCAAGAGATGAAGAAAGTTGATAAGGGAAAGAGAAGAGTCTGACAGAGACACACAAACCTGAAAAAGCCAAAAGTGTTAGTTGGGCAGGTGTTTTATTCACCTGTATGCCCATTGCCCTGTTGAATACTAGTCTGCCGAAAAGTAAGTGCTTAATATACCTTTGCATGACTGAATGTGTAAACACCTATTGAGTATGAAGTCTTGTCTAAGGATTTTCTCAGGTGTGTTTTTTGATAGATACAGCTTGCCATATTCTCTCTGTTGGAGAGTAATTCTGCCACTTGTGCATCAAATGTTTTTTTTTTTTCTGTTTGGGTCTTATAATATAGGATTTTGGGAGTGGAGAGACTAATACTGCAGGTCATTTAGGCTATTGATTGTACAGTGAACATGGTAAGAAATCATCTTTTATCAAGAAATCATCTTTTATCCAGAAACTTCATGTGTGCATTAAGGAAAAATTAATAAAGATAAACATTAAAAAGCTGACATGTTCCCAAGGAAGAGGCAACCCTACATATAGAAAGACTTATACCCAGACTGTATTACAGAGGGCACAGGCTGGCGTAGTGGCTCATGTCTGTAATCCCAGCACTTTGAGGGGTGCAAGTGGTGGATCTCTTGAGCCCTGGAGTTTGAGACCAGCCTAGGGAAAACTATTCAGAAGAATATGTCTTGCTAGAGGCACTCCACCATGCAAAGAGGGATGCTGAGGGAAACTTGGTGCTGTTAATTACTGTATACTGCAGGAGCTGGATGTTGGTGAAGCTGACCATGTTGCAGGAATTTGGTGTTGGTGAAGTCAATCTATATTAAAGAAACCTGCCAGGTGGATCACACTGGCAATATAACTGGAAATTATGAGGCAGAGCATGGGAAAATTGGAAGCTGCACAAAATAAGAGTTCCAGAAATTTGCATACGTACCCCCCATGTCTTCTACAGAATACTAAACTATGTGTACACTGGGCCAGCTGCCGTAAGGCTGGCAGAGAACAATTGTGGGAAAATACAGGATAAACAGAGATTATTAAATTTACACTTGACTGGGGGATGTTGTAACCAGCTAGAGTAGAGATGGTTCACCAAATCCTGTGGGCCTTCGACTGAGATCTCAATAAGGCCACACCTTGGCAGTAGGACAACTCTAACACTGAAGTAAAGGGTGGTGAGAAATGCCATATCAAACTTAGGAAGAAAGTTCAATAGGACCAAGCTTATTTACAAGTAATTTAAATACCTAACAGAATGCAGTTCAATACTCTTTAAAAATAAATATGGAAAAAACGCAGCTCTCCACACATAAAATTAAAAATCTCCAACATTTACTAAAAAACTGCCAGATATATGAAGAAGCAGAAGTATGTCACCTATAGTTAGAAGAAAAGTCAGTCAAAAAAAAAAATAGAGACAGAATTAAAGAGATGATGGAGTTAGCAGACAGAGATGCTAAAACAATTACAAACAGTACAAACTTGTTCAAGATTAAGAGAAAATATGGATGTAATGAGGGGAGGGATGAGTGCTGAAAAAGAACCAAATGTAACTTATAGAAATCAAAGAAAATATCTGCAATAAAAATTTCACCAGTAAGATTCAGAGCAGACTAGAACTTACAGAAGAAAAGGTCATTTAACTTGAAGACAAAGCATGATGCTGTCAAAGTAGAGCTTAGGGAGAAATCATAGCACTGTGTTTTTATATGAGATTAGAGGAATGGGATACAATCAGTGATCTATCTTTCCATCTTAAAAAGCTAGATGAAGAAAAATAAACTCTTAAGTAAGAGCCATTCAAGTTGTTGCATATATCAATAGTTCATTCATTTTTATTGCTGATCAATATTCCACAGTTAGTGTGTTGTTTTTGTGTATTTTCAATTAGATTGTTTGTTTTTTTACTGTTGAATTTTGAGAGTTTAAAATATTTTCCTAGGAATCTACTGTGATTGACCTCCAAATTTTTACCACAATTCTAAATTCTCATGACAATCGTGGAAGGAATTCTGATGTATTGAGAAGAGGAAGGAGCAATAATCTCTAAGTAAGAACCACTGTGACTTTAGTCATAAAATTGCAATAATAATGATAGATATATATCTTTTATTTTCAAATGTCAAAAATATTTTTTAGAAAATAAGCAAAATGTGGTTGTACCAAGGAGATATCTGTTTCCATAAGAAATGTGTTGAGTACCTATCAAATGTAAATTATGCTAGGTAGACACTGATAAACCTTTATTGGTTTATAATAGGAAGGTTTTAAACTTGAGAATAGAAAGGAACCTGGTTAAACTTAAACTGTTAAAGCTAAAACTGTAGAGAATAATATTTCCAGAATCAGCAGTTGAGTGAATTTTTTCACCAGATGATACTGACTCCATAGCATTACTTATGAAATATCAGTACTTTCCACATCCTCTTCAGACTGTATCACATGAAGAAGAAATTATTTGTGATGGTGTTTGTGCTTAGCTCCAGAATGTGTGCAGCAGTAGGG